TATAATTTTTTTTTTCCTTATTTGATCTCCGAACGTCATTTACTGCTTCTCGTTGCTATCGTTAAAGAAAACATACGTTGGTGTCGACATCTACAGGATGTTGTATGCATTAGTATAAATCCCTTTAAATATTAATTTGATGTACTGTACCGCTATAATATTTAGCATATGAATGCGCGTATACTTTACAATAACACAGAATTATCAGTTCAGAGCAATACACAAAAATTGAAACAATTGATGCGTCTAAAATACAAATTGAATTACGAATTTCATAAACCGTTGATTCTATCGTGTCAATGTATTCTACTCGATTACAGATATGTACATGTTTCTTTTAGAACTTTATATTATTATGTGTTAAATACATATACTGCAGTGTAATAATACACAGCAATGGTTGCACTTTTTACAAAAATAAATCTAAAATATATAGAATTAAATCTACTATTTAACATTCTAATTAGAATTAAATAATTTTAATTTATCAATATGAAATACATATTTGAACATCTCAATAAGTGTGTAAATTATTTTTCTACAATTTTTAAAGCATTTGTAATGATATTTCAGTTAACAATATGTTAATAAAAAATTAGAAAATATTAGATAATGTCAATGATGCACTTTTGTGTCCTTTTATTAACATACATTAACTTATATATAATATATGTATTTATTATACTTATCCTTAAAAATTTACTAATTAAAAATATATAAATGATATTCAGTTATTAAAAATAGTTCAAATTATTCAAGTTGTCTAATACGCAAGGTACAAGTAAAATTTCTGACAAATAAGAGTTTAATTTATTAAAGTTCAATACTTTTAGGCAAAGCATCAGTGCGATTTACATTTTAAGAAATTTTGAACAATACGGATAAATTACAATATCATTCTAACTTAATTTTGACGCTGAAGTCCAGTGCTTATGTTGTCAGTTACATAACAGTTTGCACCGAGTTTCGTAGTAAAGCAAAGTGCAGACTTATGTCATCGTTCAATGGTGTATCTCGACCTGCAAAATATAGTATGACCATCTTAAGAGCATACAGTTGAAAACCCGCGGTGTGTTAATCGAACTTATCTACGTAATTCTCAGATTTTAAGTACGTTATCGTTTAGAAAACATACGTAGAAAAAAACATTAGTAGAAAACATACGCAACATTCATTATCTCATAAACTGTTAAAAAGGAGGACGAAACACAATACATGAAAATTACTTACATAACTAATTTCAAAGCTATTTGTATGAAAATTCTAGAAAAATTCTACGAAATTCTTGAAAAAGTTCTAATACCTACGTATTATACGGACCACCTGTTTTAAGATTCTAAAAAATAAAATATTAGTAATAGTAGTAATAATAATGATAATAATGATAATAAAATATTAATAATGTGTTATGATATTAAACAAATGCTAAGTCAGACCTGACCCAAATGACTGATCAGCGCGACCTTCAGTTAGGAAACAAAGGTGGTCCGTATAACACGTAAGTACCAAAGGTCTTTATTGCTTCTATACGTATAGTCACAAAGAACCATCGAAACAACATTAAAATGTTCAATATTTTTAAAATTTCGCAAATTTAAGTTATTAATTAAATTTAATTTAATTTCGGTAGAGCTTCATAAAACTATTGCGAGATGTTCAGGCTAAAAATATCCTTTAAAAAGGAACACATGTTTCCGTTCGTCCCCATAAATTTTGCAAATTAAGTAGATATAAAAACATTGGTCACACCGAGGATTTAATAGTTTTCAATTCTCTACAAAATTCTGAAAAATATATTTCAAATAAAAATACTACGAAAACTGTTTCTGTTGAAACAATAAATATTATAACAATTTCATCAAAGAAATTTGTACAGCCTAAAGAATCGTTAAATTTCATTTGAATAATTCTTCTAAATCTGTTATACTCTCCAAGACACACAAGAAAAAACAGTAAAATGGGTATTAATCCAGCAAGGTGCGTTTTCACCCCGCAAAAGCAGGAGATAGCAGCAAACACTTGGCCAGTGTTACCAGTGAGATCCTCGCAGACCCAAAAGGTTTCAAAAAAGTCGTAGTCGTGATCTTCGGGTTACCAAAGTTCCCTGGCCAGATTAGATGCAAAACTTCTCGTAATGTCCGCGAAGTCCCGTGCGAAAAAAGTTGAGCAGCGACCGGGCCGTTGGGGAACCTGTTCTGGAATGGTTTAGCGATTTACCGAGTTCCATCTGAAATTGTAAAGTTTCCGGTAGATAAATGACAGGTGTTCATGGTAGGCATGTCCGGAATCAGCAGTGTTTCAAAGTTCAGGGCGCCAGGTGTCGCGGTTTCAGTGCTGGCCAATAGGCGCGATACGGCTCGTCAGTCATCCGGCAGCCCGCTGTGGAAGCGTTTCGTCGCGCGTCACGACAGGCGTCGATGCTTTCTGATTCGATCTTTTCGTTCACGTTCTCGCCTCTGTGCCGCGAGAATTGGCGCGTATCGAATTTCGAAATTCGAACTGGCGCGACTACGATCCCGTACGCATCGTGCATGATCGACCGTACGCCGGTGACGACGCGAGAGAAAACACCGAGAAACCGTGGAGGAAGGAATTTCGCGTTGATCGTGAAAGTCGATCCGGTCTTCCTCACGCAGAATCCTATCGGCGAGGAGCAGTTCCTTCACCGTAACTTTCCTCGTTTCCATTTCTTCGAAAGGTACGTCGATTTTACCACGCAAAACCGTCCGGATCCGCGCTCTTGCTTCCTTTGTTTACTTTGTGGCCTAGGAATTGGCGGCTCTTCGTATCTCATCGCGCTTCCGTGCGGTTTTCGTTGATTTTTCTTTCCTGCTAAGACATTCTCGATCACTTGAACGAACAAAGCCAAGAAATTATTCGAAACGATGAATGATTTTCTTTTTTACCCTTGAAACTAACGAATTTTGGGAACATCGAAACACGTTGAACCTATGCAAACAGATTATCGACGAAATACTTTATCGGTTGAAAGATTAGTTCGATGATTTTGTTTGTATTCATGCGTCGGATGTGACGGTGTATTCCTGCGAGCATGAAGCGCGCGTGTATGCGTGCGAGTGTTTTTAAACGGTGTTCAATCGGACGAGTTACACGTGATAATTCTGAATTGCACGACACTACGTTGACCCTGAGTGTGTCGCTATTGCAAACACGTGTTTTTTAAACATGACTCGAAGTTCGCTTCGGTTTGCACTTTCGTGGAAGCGCACGTGGTTGTGCGTCGCACCGCACGGGGGGATAGCGTTATCTCCAGGAAGAGCGGACTTTATTTTATTTGTTTCCGCGGTGTACACGACAACTGTCCATTATCATCGTATATCCGACCCGAGAATTCCAAGTATGCTTCCGTTTTCCCACTGTGAACTGTTTTCGTTCCATCGGACAGAACCAGTTCTCTTTGTTTTATAAGAAAATAATCGAAGAACTTCCTTGACTCGTTTCTAACGAGTTTTCCTGGTCCACGCGGTACTCGTAAAAAGAACATGATAACGATTTGTAGGGTTGTCAAGGGGGAACGGTAAAGTAGATTACGTCTATAATACTCCAATTTTTGTTACAGGCCTTTTTTTTCTCTAGTATATTGTTGATGCACTTACTCCACCATTCAACTTACCGGACACTTGCTTCATCAAATATAAAAAATTAAATTGATATCAGGAATTTTCATAAATAATGAAATATACCAATTACATTAACTATATTGACTATGTGTGTATTATTTTCGTTATTTTAACTTTTTATATTAATATTTTAATTATATTAACTCTTTATTCGTAGGAAATATATAAATCATGTTACGAGTTTGCAAATGATCCAAAATTTTTTTTGTTTTGATCTTGATTTTTTATTTGATCAAAGTCATTAATTTTCAATCGTGTTTGAGTAAGCCCATTGCAGAAAATTTGTGTAATTACTTATGTAAGTAGTTTGAAAACAAATTCCGAAATGAGATTTAATGTACTTCTTCTGTTTCTATAGTTTTATGTATTTCTACTTGCGACATAATTTGGGTTTTCTTCAAGGTAATATAAGATAAGATCGCAGAATTTAAGATATTAATTTTATATTGCCATTTTGAAGTACCTTCAGATTAGTTGTTATTATATAATATTATAATTCATTTATTAGTATTACTCATAAAAATTAATCATTTTAAAAGAAAATTAAAAAATGCATTCTTTTGTGTTTTAAATAGTGAAAGGATCATGGCTACAATGTTAAATTTTCAAAATTTCAATGCAAAATGTGGTATAACGGAAATTTTGAAGTTAAGGTTCTTTTACTACATTGATATCTTGGTAGAGGAAATTATTACTTCATTCTAAGATTAAAAAGTCTTAAAATATCCTTCAATATTTCATTCTGAAGAAAAAAATCGTCATTGAATTGGTATATTTTTTATGTTTATAAAATTCCGAAATTCAATCTTTGTTATTACATAAAGTAACTGATATATTTTCAATTGATTTATAAATTAGTGCATCACTTTATATAATCGAAAATATAGTACCTATTAGATATTTTATTTTTCGAACATAATATTTTCAATACATTGTACTTTTTAATGTACTGTTGATGTTTGAATATTTATTCTTATAAAATTCTTCTAAATTATTTATTATGAAATTAAATAGTGTAAATGTATAATTCTACATACAGTGAGTGATCCATTTATGTAAACTGCTGTAATAAATTATTCTTCGTAAAGTTAATAACGATTGTCTCATAATTAAATTAAAACCACATACCTACCTAAAATATGCTTCTCTTATTTTCATCGATTACTCCCACGTTCACCTTCTATTTTATCTGAACCAAGCTATTTTAGAATACGCGTGTTCTAAGATAGAGCCATGTGTAAATATGGCTCTGTGTTAACTAGTAAAATCGCAAATGTTCTTCCGCGTTCCTACTATT